CCATGGTGCGTGTTTATGTTTGTGTGTGTCTTTCTCTGTCTGCCTGTTCGGTATTTCAAGTCTGCAGTCAAGCAGACTTCGGCGCTGAAATTTTGGCAGTGGGTTCCTCAGTTAAGTGCACCCCATATTCGCGGTACCGATATTCATGCATGAGCAGTGAAAGTTTTGGCGGAGAAATTGCTAACTTGGAAGGAGGGAAAGCTAGGAGGCTTGAGATTTTAAGAGGATGTTCTCTGTCCAAATACAATTTAAAGATTTCAAATTCAGTTCCCAAGTATGCGTGGTCCTCACATACGTGGACTTAAAGTTTTGGCAAGAAGATTGCGCGCTGGACAGTACAGTCGTTAAATTTTTCGTAGATTGTTCATTTTCCTGCATGCAAAGTTTACGATGATTTGCGCTAGGGAAAGCACAACGTAAGTGTAAATCAGCAACCATTCATATACAGTTAACTACCTGACTGCTTCAAGTTTAGTGCAAAAACGCATAATCGCACCGGTAACCTGGTGCGTTCCAGCCTAGGTTTCATTCCTTCAGTTTCATCTTTTCGTACGTGTTCGATGATCTCGTTCCATCACACCGACACCGAGATCTCCATATCTATAGGCCATGCAATTCTGCATAATGCCAAGCGTGGTACTGTGCTTGAAATGTGTCTTATTTTTATTGCTTTATTGCTTTAAAACCGTTAAGACAAAGCTCACTGACATTGGCGAATCCTATTGCTGCGTCAACGAATACTTCTACATATTGTTTGCTCTGTAAATTGATTTCTGTGCAAATTGATTTCTGAACTTTTATACAAAAGGCGTATTGTCACGATCCTGCATGTATGTGTGTATGTGTGCGTGTGTATGTTTGTTTGCAGTTATATGTGTGTATATGTGTGTGTGTGTGTGTGCATGTGCGTGTGCTTGTGTGTGCGTGTGTGCATTTGATTCGAGGCTGTTATCTCAGGAAAAAAAAGCTAGGAAGCTGAAATTTTGAAGGAATGCTTTATGCACACGTGGGATCAAAAGTTTTAAACTCAGTTTCCAAGTATGCTTGTTCCTCACGTACGGATGCGTGAAAATTTCGCTAGGAAATTTGTTAACTTAGGGATTAGTATAGGGATCTGAAATTGCAGAAGGATAATCTGCGTCTATCACAACATCATAAAATTAATTTCAGCTTCCAAATGTGCCTCACGTAGGGTGAGAAATCTTGTAACTCAGGAACCAAGTAACATTTCTACTGTTTTTGCCTATACGAGTCTGTCAAGCACGAATATTCTTAAAAGCGGATGTCTTCCGCACAAAACTGAGCAAAACGCATGAC